ATTCTGGATCAAAATAGAAAGCAATAGTAATATAAGAAGGGCCTAGAGATGTGACTAATGAACAGAGGATATGTTATTTTAGTGCCAAGAATGTCTACATTGTTTATTCTGGACCCTATTTTGAAATTGGCATCTTTTTTAATTTGCATGAAATTGGCCAAATTGCCAATTTTTGACCACTTTACTGGGTAGTTCAAATTGGTAAATGGGTGGTTTCTTGTACTCGACTGATAGAAAAAATGGAGTTCTAAAGAAATATCTACGAGTTTGGTCAACTGGAACAACAGAATTGGTCAAAAACAGGGCTCAAAGTCTTTTGGTGTCGTTACCATCGGGAAAAGATCATCTATCATTTTATAAGAAATTTTTTTATAGACATACAACGAGTTTCAGAAAGGGGCTTGTGACAGTCAAAGGGTTAAAAGTCACTACCTTGTATGAACAATGTACACCGAGGAACAATCATCATCTAATGTTATAAAAAAAAAATTAACAAAACTAAAATACAAAACATAACTTGCTTCACTTCAAAGGCCCCATACAGGCCTTCATGGTTACCCTAGAATTGATCAAGGACCCATTACTAGACCCACATCCAATCACATTTTGCTGAACTAATAATTTGGCAAAAACATGAAAAGGTCTAAGAAAAGAAACGAAAACACTGAAATGATTTAAAACTTCTTTCAAGATTTGTAAGATGGAAAGCTAATAGATAAATTTGCTATGAGCATTTTTTCTAGTGCTAAATGTGACTACTTCCAAGCTTCTGGTATTTAATGTTTTTTTCCCATCTAACCAAAGAACCAAATGATCATTATTAATGACCATTAATAATCCAAGGGCAGAAATAAATATTTTAAACAAACTGGAAATAAGTATTATCATTAATATTATGGGAAGCACAATAAACAAAACCAGTGCCAGCTTACACATACTGTACAGTGAAACCTCGGTAAGTGAACAGCTCCCTACTCAAAGCTCAGCACCTGACCAAACAAACACGACCTGCCAGAAATTCACTGTCAACTATTTCGCGTTTCTTAGCATTTTATGGTGTTTTCTTATTTTATTTGTATAAACAAGTCACCATGGGGCCTATAAAGATTAGTGATAACCAACCAAAGAGAAAATGGGTTGCAAAGAATTTGTTCAATACTCGAACTGATTGGCACTAACAGCCTTCTGGAATGAATTACGTTCGAGTACCGAGGTTCCACTGTACTGGTTTGCCAAAGCCTTAGAAGAATTAAGTTTGGCGAGAAGGTATGCTTTGTTTCACATATCACACAAAGCATAGTGGGGAAAGATAAAATGGCCTCAATCCAGAATAGTGAAAATATCACTTCCATAATGTTTCGTCTGTGGTACGCATAGATATTTTCTACAGCACATGGAAGATAAGCTCAGAGCCCCATAAAGTATAGTAACAAGTTTCAAAGCCTTGATCTCTCCCACACCTACATTTTTCTCCATTATCTAACTTTGGAGCTTATTCTTTTCTGCTATGCACTGCCTTATATATATTAAGAATTTGTAACCATTCAATTTCTTAAAAGAAACAAATGATAATAAAATTTAACTGAAAAAATACTATTGATATATCAGTACCCTATGTTAAATTAGTTTATGTCTGTCAAGGCGAGATGGAAGCCCTATGTGAGAATCCACAACCAACCTCACATTAATATTCTGGCATTTGAATTATTAAGAATAAAGTATCTGCACTTTATCCTTCAAAAATAAAGCAATGCTTCTGTGAAGACACAGTTAGGTGACTAACTTATCACAAAACTAAAGAAAATGATCTTAGCAATGTACTGCAAACACTGAATTACTAATGCACAATGAAATTCTAGTGTAAATCCAATTAACAGTTACTCATCAGTTCTCATATGCATAAATGTAATACCTAAGCTACTTTTAACATTAGGAAGCACACAAGTGGTAAACAGCAACTATCCAGTGAGGTACTGTACTGTTATAGGAGTCAAGGTAAAGAATTTATATACAATACCGGTCATCTCAATCACGTAAAAATGGCAATGGTAATTTGAGAAGTTTGATTCAAAAAGTTGAAGTGAATGCAACACTTTTCAATGGTGTTGCACGCTATACGGAAATTTAAGGGAAAGGGGACAAAAATCCATGAAACCAAGTTCAATGCTCTCCTACTATAAAAGTATCATGGCAATCTTCAACAGCAACACTCCTGCAAGAGCTTCATTCAAGTTTCCATCATCAGAATGAATAAAATTCATTGAAGAGTAAGAGGCTGAAGATGTGCTATCTTCTGAATTCCTGCAATAAATAATACTCACCACTCACTAAAAGCTAATGATAAATTATTTAAAGGAAATGAGTGTACTGTATATACATTCTACTTTTATTGTTCACTTTAATATAGTGAAACATGCCGAGGCATTTATACGAATTTAAAAGCTAAAAACAAGGGGTGATTCACTATACGCCGATTTTTTATTTACAACAGTAGCCTGATACCTACCTGTCGTATAATTGGGTACTTCCTGTATTTAGGTAATTTCAAAGGCAGTAGTAACAAAAATTACTCTAACTATTGACCAGCCACTGTTAAAAAAGCACTGGCAGCTCAAGCTCAAACTCTTATTTATGACCACTAAGTAGTAACAAGCAGTATGACCTTATTTAATACAATATTCATTTAATTTTCATCATTAAAGTTGCAACTACTTGCCAACAATTACGCCAAATATGGGTAACACTAGTCCACCTGCAAATTAGAAATAAGTAAAAACTGCACATAAGATAAAGAATGTACATATTTTTTTTTTTTTTCAACAAGTCGGCCGTCTCCCACCAAGGCAGGGTGACCCAAAAAAGAAAGAAAATCCCCAAAAAGAAAATACTTTCATCATTCAACACTTTCACCACACTCTCACATTATCACTGTTTTTGCAGAGGTGCTCAAAATACAACAGTTTAGAAGCATACACAAAGATACACAACATACCCCTCCAAACTGCCAATATCCCAAACCCCTCCTTTAAAGTACAGGCACTGTACTTCCCATTTCCAAGACTCAAGTCCGACTATATGAAAATAACCGGTTTCCCTGAATCCCTTCACTAAATATTACCCTGCTCACACTCCAACAGATCGTCAGGTCCAAGTACCATTCGTCTCCATTCACTCCTATCTAACACGCTCACGCACGCTTGCTGGAAGCCAAGCCCTTGCCCACAAAACCTCCTTTACCCCCTCTCTCCAACCCTTTCGAGGACGACCCTACCCCGCTTCCTTCCCCTATAGATTTATATGCTTTCCATGTCATTCTACTTTGATCCATTCTCTCTAAAATGACCAAACCACCTCAACAACCCTCTTCTGCCCTCTGACTAATACTTTATTAAACCCACACCTTTCCTAATTTCCACACTCCGAATTTTCTGCATAATATTTACACACACATTGCCCTTAAACAGGACATCTCCACTGCTCCAACCGTCTCCTCGCTGCTGCATTTACCACCCAAGCTTCACACCCATATAAGAGTGTTGGTACTACTATACTTTCATACATTCTCTTCTTTGCCTCCATAGATAACGTTTTTTTGACTCCACATATACCTCAGCGCACCACTCACCTCTTTTCCTTCATCAAATCTATGATTAACCTCATCCTTCATAAATCCATCCACCGACACGTCAACTCCCAAGTATCTGAAAACATTCACTTCTTCCATACTCCTCCTCCCCAATTTGATATCCAATTTTTCTTTATCTAAATCATTTGATACCCTCATCACCTTACTCTTTTCTATGTTCACTTTCAACTTTCTACCTTTACACACATTCCCAAACTCATCCACTAACCTTTGCAAGTTTTCTTTAGAAACTCCCATAAGCACAGTATCATCAGCAAAAAGTAACTGTCAATTCCCATTTTGAATTTGATTCCCCAAAATTTAATCGCACCCCTCTCCCGAACACCCTAGCATTTACTTCCTTTACAACCCCATCTATAAATATATTAAACAACCATGGTGACATTACACATCCCTGTCTAAGACCTACTTTTACTGGGAAGTATTCTCCCTCTCTTCTACACATCCTAACCTGAGCCTCACTATCCTCATAAAATCTCTTTACAGCATTTAATAACTTACCACCTATTCCATATACTTGCAACATCTGCCACATTGCTCCTCTAACCACTATCATATGCCGTTTCTAAATCCATAAATGCAATAAAAACTTCCATACCTTTATCTAAATACTGTTCACATATATGCTTCAATGTAAACACTTGATCTACACATCCCCTACCCACTCTGAAACCACCTTGCTCATCCGCAATCCTACATTCTGTCTTACCTCTAATTCTTTCAATTATAACCCTACCGTACACTTTTCCTGGTATACTCAGTAAACTTATTCCTCTATAGTTTTTAGTCTCTTTTGTCCCCTTTCCCTTTATATAAAGGGACTATACATGCTCTCTGCCAATCCCTAGGTACCTTCCCCTCTTTCATACATTTATTAAACAAAAGTACCAACCACTCCAACACTATATCCCCCCCTGCTTTTAACATTTCTGTCATGATCCCATCAGTTCCAGCTGCTTTACCCCCTTTCATTCTACGTAATGCCTCACGTACCTCCCCCACACTTACATTCTGCTCTTCTTCACTCCTAAAAGATGGTATACCTCCCTGACCAGTGCATGAAATTACTGCCTCTCTTTCTTCCTTAACATTTATAAGTTCCTCAAAATATTCTCGCCATCTACCTAATACCTCCATCTCCCCATCTACTAACTCACCTACTGTTTTTAACTGACAAATCCATACTTTCCCTAGGCTTTCTTAACTTGTTTAACTCACTCCAAAATTTTTTTATGTATATACCATTATATAATGTCAGTTCACCCTAGTTAACTTCAACAATAATCAGTTTTTTAGAACAAGTATCATCACCAAATTCAAAAGAAAGCTAATTTTACCACATTATAAAACTTACCATACTACAATATAATGCCTCAGGATCCAATTTGTCATACCTATAAAAATAGGTATTGCTGCATTACAAAATATCTGTTTAGGGTACACACACTATCTTGCCACTGTGCTGTAAAGTATGGTGCATGATCTTTTCTTCAGTCGATGACAGCAGAAAAGTTGATGTTAGATGATGTGCCACAACTTGAAACTAGTGATCAAGATATTTTTTTTTTTTTTAACACATCGGCAGTTTCCCACCATGGCAGGGTAACCTAAAGAGAAAAAAAAAAAATACTTTCAGCATCACTCATAAAATAGTCTTTGCAGAGGCACTCGTATGACTGTTTAGAAGTTCCTCCAAACTGCTAATATCTCAAACCCCTCCTTTAACCCTTTGATTGTCGCAACCCCAATTCTGAAACCGTCGCAAAATATTTGGAAAAAAAAAAATTAAATGATAGAATCTTTTCCCGATGATAATGACACCAAAAATAAGAAATTTTATGGAAAACCTAGGAAATTACACTCGTGAAGTTAGCAATCTTAGCAACACGCGCATCGGCGATTTTGTCCACTTTGAGCCCTATTTTTGGCTAACTCTATTGTTCCAGTCTACCAAACTCAGCTATTTCTTTAGAACCCCATTTGTTCTATAGAGTGAGTACAAGAAAGCATCCATTTACAACTTTTAACTACCCAATAAAGTGGTCAGAATGGCAATTTGGCCAATTTCCCACAAACTAAAGATGCCAATTTCAAAATGGGGTTTTTTTAAATAAAGAAGGCAGACTTTCCCGGGGAACTTTAATAACATTTCCTCTTTTTCATTATTCACGCTCTAACCCCTCTTAAATTACTCTTGTTTTCCCTGTTTTGAATTTTTTTTCACAAAAAAAAATAAAAATTTTTACTTTTAATGCGGACCGGGCTTTATTTTTTAAAAATGGTATAAAAATATCAGTGCATTTGTGAATGAATTCAGACTCGCCATTGATATGTATTGGACATGGGGTGGATTTTTTTTTACCCCTTGAACATCCCCCAAAAAATGAATTTTTCCACAACATTGCCCCCAAAATTTCAGTCCTTTTCTTTGTGAAACAAATAAAAAATCATCTCTTTTCTAAATATGAATTAAATTCTATCAAATAAACCCAAAGAAAAAATTTTTTCGAAAAAAAAGTTTAAAAAGGTCGGGGGTTTTAACCCCAAAAAACCCGTGGTCTTTTAGTTTTTTTTTTTTCTCAAAAGGCATTGCATCCGCGGGATGTTTTTATACTGCACCAGCCACAAACCCTTTCTCTCACATGTGGGCCTCCCATTTTTATCTCCCCTTGATTTGAACCCCCAAAAAAATTTTTGGCTATTAATTTCAAAAACATTGGCTCGTAAGACGAAATATATAGGGCCGAAAAAATTTTGGGGGTTAAGTGCAGGCATTTTTACTTCCCACCTCCAAAACCAAGTGTGGCAAACCCAAATTTTCCCCTAAACCCCCTCCATAAAAAAATTACCCGGGCCCCACACCCCAAACAAGCTCTTTAAAGGCCCTAAAAAACCATTCGTCCCCTTACTCCTACCAAAAATGCGTTTCACCAGGTTTTGCTGGAAGCCCAAAGGGCCCTCCCAACAAAGTTTTCCTTTATCCTTCCTCCCTCCCCCCCCTTTTTTTAGGATGACCCCTACCCTCCCTTTTCCTTTCCCCCTACAGATTTAAACATTTTTCCAAGTCTTTTTAACTTTTTTTCCATTCTTTTAAATAACCAAAAACCCACCCCAACAGCCCCTTTTCACCCCGGGTTTTACAAAAAACTTTTAAAAAACTCCACCCCTCCCCCTTTTTTTCCCCTTTTCAAACGAATCTCGATAATTTTACCCCCCAACACACTGTCCTTAACATGACGTCTCCACTGCCTCCGGGGCCTTTCCTCGCTGCAGCATTTAAAACCCCAAGCTTCACCCCCATAAAAGTTTTGGGGTCCCAAACATACATGGAAATTTTTTTTGGTCCCCCCCAAGTCCCTTTCAACGCACCACTCCCCCTTTTTTTTAAATTCTATGGTAACCTCACTTCAAAAATCCATCCGCGAAAAAATTCACCTCCCAAAATATAGGGAAAACTTTTCACTTTTTCCATACTCCCCCCGGCCAATGTGATTTTCCAATTTTTTTTATCTAAAATTTTTGGATACCCTCATTACCTTACTAAATCTATGTTAAACTTTAAACCCTTTCAAACCTTCACACGCCCCCCCCCCCAAAATTTCATTCTACTAGCCTTTGCAACTTTTTTTAGAATCTCACAAAAGCAGGATTTATCAGAAAAAAAGTAACTGCACCTCCCTTTTTTGGTATTTATTCCCCCCTAATTTATTCCCACCCCTCTCCCAAACAACCCTCTATTTTCCCTTTTTTTACAACCCCATCCACAAAATATTAAACAAACCCTGGTGACATTACACATCCCCCCTCCCAAAACCTACTTTTTAAAAAAAATAAATTTTTTGTAAATTTTCTAGGTTGTAGATTGGGAGACAGCAACCTATCAGGGAAGTACCACCATCCTGTGATGTAAAAAAGAAAGCCCGTAAATTTTTTTTACATGATTGGGTTTGGGAAATTTCAAAATTAGGTCCCCACTAACAAAACATGTACAACAAATATATACAAAACACAACCCCCTGGGTTTTTTTTCCATTTTTTTTCTAGTTTTTGGGTTTTTTTTTTATTTCCTCTTTTCCCCCATGGGGGGTTTAACAGAATTCTTCCCCCGTAAGCCATGCATGTTTTAAGAGGCAACTAAAATGCCCCGGAGAAGGGGGTAGTAACCCCTTCTCGTGTTCATATTTTCTAAATCAAAGAGAAAAATTCGTTTTTTTTTTCCCGGGCCACCCTGCCTTGGTGGGGTTTGGCCGGGTTTTTTGGAAAAGAAAAAACATGCAAAATTTCAGGCAATCTTGCCACTTTTACTTTCATTAAGGTCCAACTACACTGCCTTTAAAAGTTATATCCCCCCCCTTCGGTTTTTCTCTATTTTTCTTTCTATTTCTTGTTTTTTTCCATTTAAACTACAAGGGGAAGTGGAAAAAGAATTTTTCTTCCAAAAAGGGGCCCTGTGTGTTTTAAAAAGGCAACTAAAAAGCCAGGAGCAAGGGTATAAACCCCCTTTTCCCCGTATAAAAATTTCTGAAAGTAAAAATGAGAATTTTTTTTTTCTTTCGGGCCACCCTGCCTCAGTGGATCGGTTTATGACTGAAAATTAGTTTAAAAATTTGTAAAGCTAATTAAAAGCTGCTATGGGTTCAGCTTTTTAATTTTAAAAAAGCCCCAAAAATGGTTAGCACAACTATGACCTGTTATTTTGGGGGATTTTTTTGTAGTTTGAAGAGTATTGTGTTGAAAAAAAACAGGACCAAACTTTGGATCTCGCCCGTGACTTAAAAAAGTTAGTTTTTTATTAACCAGTTTTTATTTTAAAAATTTTTTCAAACCCTTTTTAAAACCCTTTAACCCTTAAACTGCCAAAATAAATATTTCGTTCCCCCTCGCGTAGCGCCCCAAACCCATACATACTTTCCTTTGTCCCCTTTTTTCAAAATTGGCACAAAAGCCGAGCGCCTAACCCTGAGGAAAGGGAAAAAAAGGTTTTGCGCACTCACTGTGTGCCCTCCGAAAAAAAAATTTGGGGGTGCTGGGGCCCTATGCTTTTTTTTTTCCTATTAAAAAAAAATTTTTTCCTCAAAAAAAAATTTAAGGGGGCCTATGCGAGAGAATGTATAAACTGGGCCCCCCCCGTTAACGGGCTTTTTTTCAATTCCCGAAATATGTTCAGGTGCCATACTGACCCCGAATTTGTTCCCATAAGAATATTGTGAATAGATTATTTCCCTTTTCAGACCCCCAAACAACACATACAAACCAAATTACATAAAAAAATTACATAATTGGGGCATTGGGAGGTGATCGTAAAAATGGGGGCCCCGTATATGTTTGGACCGTTTTAAATTTTTAAAAAAATTAAAAAACTTGGTTTAAAAGCCTTAGAGTTCCTAAAAGAAAAAAATGAATGGAATGCTGCATACCTGATGATTGAGCAATAAACCCCGGGACAAAATACGTCCCCACAATTAACCCCAAACAATTTTAAATTTTTTTTATCTAGGATATAAAAACCCCTTCTTTTAGCTTTTACTCTCATTTTCTTTTAGAATTTTAAATGATAATTAATCACTTTTTCATTTTCCCTATTTAGTGTCTCCTTGCCCGATCAACATAACACTCCTCTTTCCCCAACTAAAAAACATTCTTACCCGGAACTCTCAGCCCGAAAACCCAAACTTGTAGGGAAACCCGGGAAAAAAATTTAAAAAATGATTAGCAAATTTCCCATATTTTGTGAAGATTTTGATTTGAAATGTTTGGTTTTTCTTTTTTTAAATTTTTTATTTTTTAAAATCTTTTTAGCAAAAGAGGGAAAATGCATTTGATTTGATAAAGCAAATGATCTTTTTGGACCACTGAATTCAACTAGCATTAGATTTCACTTGGCATTAAAAATATAAGCCATTCCATAAATAATTACCTTAGCATACAATGGACATGAGCAAATTTCACCCAGGTTCATGAAACAGATCCCATTCTTTTGCCCCACACAAAATCTACCATTGTTCATCATCTACATATAATGAATAAAACAATTTTTCCATCTCTCTGGCATCACTACACCTCCACCTTTAATTTGATTAGCTGCCATATCCAACTGTCCATCAGGCTCTCGCCATTTTTATCAAAACTATTTTATTCCCCCAGATGTATGATTCACAAGGTATCTCTTGTTCTTTTGCATTCCTTTAACACAGTTTTCCCTCTCCACACGTGTATGTCGTGGACACCACACTTCCCCTGATGCATGCTCCACCTTCCTTCCTTTTTACAAAAAAAACAAAAAAAAATTCATTTTCCAAAATTATCTGTCTTCCCTCCAACATCTTATCCCCTATAATTACACACATCTGCTGCACACACTGGTACTACTTTCTTAAAATCAACACCACCATACCTTCACAAGCTCTCCCTCAATCATCCTTCCAACAGATGATCCTATTTTAATAATCATCCCCAAGTTTTAATTTACTTTCACTTAACATTTACCTAGTGACATCATCTTCCATGTGTGCTACTTTACTGTTCCTTTACTTCTAAGAAGAGGTACATCGAAGGTCTACTTAATTATTTCTATCAAGGTTCAACTATTTTACACACACAACTTCGAACTGTTAAACTATGCTCTCTACAACTGTTTTCCATTTTATTGAATCAATTCTTATAGTTCAAAACTAAAAATTTTTTGACATCAAGCTCCTTGTAACTCGCCTGCACATCTCTAAATGCATCAAACAGTTTACTTTACATATTTCACTTTTATTCTAAACCTCATTTTAATGTAACCCACTCATATCTCCTAATTTTAATCTATATAACCTCAACTCTCCCTATGCTTTAGTCCTAATACATTGTGTGAAGATCTGAACCCTTTTGCCGACTGTCACGTAGAACTACATCAAGGACAGTCCCTGATGTAGTTCTAGGTCATGAGCTCAGCTCACTTGGATAAACTGCGAGCAGTAAATTTTTACCCTAGATATGAGAAAATGGCCATGTCTGTGAGGTGAGTATGCACCATATAAAACTTTCTGCCCTACATAGTGCATGATGAAAAAAAAAAAATATTGTGGGCATGGTTTAAAATAGTGAACAAGAAGTACAGTGGAACCCCGAGTTTCAACCGCTTTCGGCTAAATTTTGTCCGGAGTTTCGGCCTGTGCCCCTTGTCTCGGCCAGCGTACCAGACCTGTCCACCTGCATGTGCAAGCGTCGTGAGCCAGTCTAGCTTTGTTTATCCTCGAGTGAACATTATCCTGCGTTCTCATCCAAACATTTCACAATAAATTCATTGTCTTTAGTGCTCGTTTATTGAGTGATTGAAGAAAAGCCACATTGGCCCAAAGAAACCTCTACGGAACCCCTTTGGTAAAAAAAGTGAGAAACACAATAAAATTTGAAGAAAAATTGTGGCAAAGTCCAAAGCAAGGAGGAAGTTTTTTTTTTTTATTTTAAAATTTATAATAAAAAAGAAGCGCAAACCACAAGGCTAACGCGCGCAGGGCAGGAAGGAAGCGAGGGCATCATGGCAAAAGGGAGATAGTGAAGAAATAGGTTTTACGGTACAGCGGGTTGGATGGGAAAGGGGTAAGGGCGCAAGAGACTAAACTGAAAGGGTTGGGGGAAGTGCGAAAATATCAGAGTTTGTGGAGTAAATCAGTTTTTGTCAAGAATCAATAAAGGAGTCGGATTAAAGGGGGGGCCACACAAAAGGGAAGGAAAGAGAGAGTAGTGAACGAAGATACGTTGGGGGTAAATTCTACGTGCTCTTTAAAAGAGAGGCTCAAACAGAATGTTTTTAACGATAAAAACTTGACACTGCCACAGAGGGGAAACAGGGTCCTCTCCATGAGTACCCATGATAAGACGAGGTGGCCAATGCAAGGCGGGAGGGAGGTCCCCCAACCTCGGCACTGATGAAAAGAGACGGCCATAACCTTTCTGGGTTTAATAAATGAAGTTTGTTACGGGCAATTTGCCAAGTTGCTGCCAACGGGGCGAAGGGGGGTACTATTGCACAAAATACCCCAGAAATGGAAACCTCGATAAAAATTGGGTACCCCTGTATGCTCCGGCAGCATGTCTGTTTTTCTTTTTCTTGTACCGACAGCCCAGGGCCCCAAAAAAAAACAAATCAATTTTTGGGTAAGATACGGCGTAGCCAAATTTGGTAGGGAAAATTAGGGGACGAGATTATCAATTTTCGTATAGCGTGAGCACTAAGGGAGTCTGAGACAAACTACAAATGATGACACAGGCATAGATGCGAAGAAAAGTGCTGCAAGAATGGATCAGTTCAGCAGAAAAAAATGCAGCTAAGATAGTAAATGCCCCCGCACGCGCTGTCCGGAAACACTGCGCGAATCCGACCCGTCTGAAGACTTAAGCCTCGGTTAACAGCGGTGGCATGAAAAGGGAGTGAAAGTGATCAAAAAAAGAGAGCGGGAACTACCGAGGAGCTGATTTTCGAGAAAGGGGATAGAAAGAACATACCCAACATGGAATTCCCCGGGGGGTAGGGAAAGTGAATGCACATGAACAAAAAAAGGGTGGTAACGAAGGGAAACAGGAATGTAGGCGAAGAGAAAAGGGCGGAGAAAACAGGGGGGGTCAACGAATAAAGAATGTCTACAAAAATTGGGTGACCATTCTATAAAGGGAAGGGTTTGTGAGATCGTGAGAGCGTACATAGTAGCGAAGGCAATGGGCATCACGGCGATCAACAAGGAGGAACTTTCGCTTCTGTATAGACTTCAATAGGGAAGAGCAAAAAGCCCAAGGCACAAACGTAATCCTGGTGATGGATAAGTTAAGGCTAAGAAGTAGAGGAGAGGCCGCGGAGAAAAAAACTGGTCACCATAATCGATTTCGAAAAAACGGGGGTGAATGTGGGCGAAGCAGATTTTCGACGATCCAGCTCCCCAGGAAAGATGAGGGGGTTTTAAAAGGTTTACGGGCTGGACAATTTGCTTCAAGAGGAAAAGTGGGGTTTCCCGGGAAAACCCTAGGGTAAAGAGGGGGCCTAAAAAACCTGACTGAATCAGTTGGGGGATAGGGGAGCCATAGAGATACAAAGGATGAGGGAGATAACGGCGTTAGTGAAAAAATTGGGGCGATTTTTGGGTACTTGAAAATTTAAACCCAGGTGGGGGCCCCAAGTGGAAAACGGTCGACCGATGCTGGAGAAAAAACTGCAAAAAGTGACAGTCGCGCCTGCAAAACAAAGCGAAGTCATCAACATAGAGTGATGCCAAATTTTGGGGTGAAAAACAGGGGCCAAATCTTTTATAGAAAGGGAAAACAGTGTTCTAAAAACACACCCCTGGGGGACACCTTCAGTTTGGGGACGAAGTCCGGGGAAGAACTTTATTGACTCGAAACGGAAATGTCGTCAGTTAAAAAAGTTTTTTAAAGGGAAAGGGGGTTTTTAGTTTGCCTCGGACCCTAAGGAAGGGCCGGGGCCAAAAATTATACCCCCAATTGTGCATTTGCCTTCTCAAGGTAAAAAAAATATGGCAATAACTGAGTGATTTTTCCAAAAGGCTTACAACTAGTATCCAACGTATAAGGGGTTTTTGGAGAACCCCCTACGAAACCCAAATTTTGACTAGCGGGGGGGGACTTTTTTTTGCGGTCCTAAATCCCACTTTAAACTCGTTTTACGAGTGTTCCATCATTTTTGCAAACTGCACTAAAAAGGCGAGGGGGCATAGGGGGGGGCTCATGTCCTTAGTACCCTTTTTGGGGAAAGGGGAAAAACAATGGCAGATTTCCACACTGGGAAAACTCCTTGTGCCCAAAATAAATTAAAGGGGTGTAAAAGGAACGGCTGCCCGATGAAATGTTTAACATACAATTTTAAGTCGTCGGGCCCCCAGCTGCCGAGAGGGAAGCTGGAGGTTCCCCCCAGTTTTAAAGTTAAAGGCACATTTACTGTTCTTCTCTGAAGAAGAAAAGCCCAGGGTACAACCTCGGCAGCTTGAGGAAAAAACAGGGGCATAGAGGGGCCCCTCGGAAATAGGGCCCAAAGGGGCCCAAGTTCAATGGCAACGTTGAGGGGTTTTTGCACATAAAACACCAGCGACCCTAAACAGAGCCGGGTCATAGAGTTTTTCCCAAAAATTTTCCTCACTTTTTTCCAGATGCACTCATAGAAAAAGCGAGGTGATGGGGGAAACATGTCTCCCCAAACAAGTGCTTTTTAGCTTCACGGATGCACGGCACATCGCACCTCTGCAAAAATCAAGAAGTCTTCAGCAGTTTTTTTTTTGTACCGGTCCCTGCCCCTGAGCATGTTTAAAGTATGCAGAGCACGCGGGGGACCCCCAAGGCACGCATTTTGGAAATGCCTGCCGATTTTTGGGGGGTATGAATGAGAACCCGGGGTTAAACTGACGTCGAGAAGATGTGTAGGAGTCATCAATGGAGGATGAAAAGGAA